TTATACGGCAATATAAATTATAAATGGGAATATAAATATAAAAATATGTAAATATAGCTTAAAAGACAGGGAATGTTTTGGCTTTTATTTAAGTAGAGGCAGGGGTTTTATTTTGAATATTATAAGTGTTCCAGAAGTAAAAATCTTGAGGCAGAAATATTTAATCAATATAAAAATATGAATAAAAATATATAAAAATTCATAAATAACTACTCGCATCAGATGTAATATAGAATATAAATTTATTTTTAACTTGACATTGGTAAAGATAAATGTATAAGTAAGCAATAGACATTAATATACCTTATAAATACAAATATGAATATAAAAATTGAACATTAGGATAAAGTCTATTTAAATATTGTTTACAACAAAGGGTTGGGGTTTTTTTTATTCCTATTGTGTTAGAGGCAGGGTTTTTATTTTAAATAATATGAATGTAGATATTATTGTTATTTATTTCTAAATATGGAGATATACAATCGAGATATAAATATATATATAAAACCACAAAATATAAAGAAATACCAATAATAGGAAGAGATGTAATGAAGAATACAAATAACAGTATAGATAAGTGTACATTTTAAATGTAAATATGAATATGAACCTGAAAACTAGAATTTTAAAAAATATTTGAATACCGTTGAGAAGAAAGGGCTTCTTTTTGGCTTTAATGTGGATGGAGGCAAAGGTTTTATTTTAAATAATGCAAGTGTTACAGAAGTAAAAATCGTAACAGAAATATATACTTACTATGTAAAAATATGTATAAAAATATACAAATAAATTTAAGTTTTAGGGATATATGCAATATGGAATAGAAATGTATTTATAAAAAGAAATGTATAAATGGACAGTGTACATCAATATACATTGTAAATAGAAATGTGAATATTAATAGGAAAAAACTTTTTAAAAAATATTTAAATATTTTTTAAAAGACATTGTTGGGTTTTTGGGGTTTTTTTTTGTGTGTTGTGTTTTGTTTTGTCTTTTATCCTATTAGATTAGAGGCAGAAGTTTATTTTTCCTCTTCCCCGTTGTTTTGGGGCATTTATTTCAGAGCAGTTTTCGGCGGGGGCCGCCCCTGTTCCTTTTCGCCGCCTTCCCTGCCCAGAGCCCCGAGGCGCGCTGCGCCCCCGGCTGGGGCGTGCGGCAGTGCTGCCGCCTTGTGGGCAGAGCGCGGTACTGCAGCCCTGCACCGAGAGGCCGCCACCTTGGGAGTGGCGCGTCGCGGATGTCGCGGACTTTTAATTGACCTTCTCAGCATGGCGGCGAAAAGGGCGGGGAAGTGGAGGACCGGGGTGGGTGTAAGTGGACTGCCTGCACAGAATACTGACGTCATGGCGGCTCCGACGGATTTTTCTGCGGCGTTTCATGGGTACCCGACACACGGTGTGGGCTCAGCGGCGCCGCGGGCGGGGTAGTTTGGCGGGTTTGTGCCAGGCATGTGGGTTAAACGCCTCGCTGTGCCGGGGTCCTCTGACGGCCGCTTTCGCGCCCTGAGGGAGCCGAGCCGGGCCGAATTGTTCCGAAGAGCCGAAGAGCCGAGGGTGGCCGAAAACACCCGAGTTGACCCGAAGAGCCGAGGGAAGCCGGAAACAGCCGAGTTTACCCGAAGAGCCGAGGGTGGCCGAAAACAGCCGACTTGAACCGAAGAGCCCAGGGCGGCCCAAAATCGCCCAGTTTACACCAAGAGACCATGATAGCCGACTGGAACCGATAGCCGAGTGTAGCCGACACTGGCCGCATTTAGACAATGTGCCCAATATGACCGAGTTTAGTCGAACCGTGCCGAGTTCGGCCGAAGAGCCGTACTGAAACGAGTTTAGACCAAGAGCCGGACCAAGCCGAATTCAGCCGAGTTTCATTAAACAGAACCGAACAACGCCGCAGCGCTCTGCCTGCAGTGCGCCTGTGCAGGCGGCAGGGATCGCTGTGCCTGCAGTGCTCCGAGGCAGACGGCAGGGGGCGCTGTGCCTGCAGTGCGCCTGTGCAGACGGCAGGGATCGCTGTGCCTGCAGTGCGCCTGTGCAGACGGCAGGGATCGCTGTGCCTGCAGTGCTCCGGGACAGACGGCAGGGGGCGCTGTATAAAGTAAGTAGAAAATATCAACTCTCTATAAGAAGGAATAAAAGCTCTATGTCACGTGCAGCAGTAGAAAATTTCACGCTCCCAGGGAATAAATAGTTTTCTTTAAATCCTTTTCGTTTTGGAGTTTTTTTTTTTTTTTACTCCCAGGTAGCCTGATAGTTTCTACTGCTGTTTTTTTATTCTAAAGCTAGAAAGGTAAACCAAGATCAGAAATACAAGAAAGGGAAAGGGAAGGGAAAGGAAAGGCAAGGAAAGGAAGCGGGAGAGCAAGAGGGAAGGGAAGGGGTGAAAAACAGAGTGAAAAAAGAAAAAAGAGTTGGAGGGGGAAAGAGAAGGCATTCGGAAGGAGCGGTGCTGCCTCAGGTCCTTCCCCGCCCAGGGGTGAAGGTCCCGTTTGATGCCCGGGAGGTTCTGCAGCTCCCGACGGCGGGGGACGGAGCCGTGGCTGTCATCCCGAGACTACAACTCCCGGCAGGCCTTGCTGCCGGCGCGGCGCGTGACGCAACGGCTGACGCGGCACATGACTGGCTGGCGGGCCAGGCGGGCGCGCGGGGCTGTGCGCGGGCCGCTCCCGCCGCCTCTCCCGCGCGGGACGGCGACGCTGGACGGGCGAAGCCTCCGTCCGGCCGCCCGCACGGCGCCGAGCAGCGCGGAAGGAGCGTCCGCGGGTTTCCTCGGCCTCCCTCGGCGGTGCCGGGGGCGGGGGGCGGGGCGGTGCTTTGCTGCCGCGGGCCGGGAGCTGCAGGAGCCGCCCCGGGCGAGCACGGCGAGCACCTGTGAGTGTTTTTTTTTCCTCTAAATCGGGAGTAAATATAGCTGAGTAAAATTAGCTTGGTTTTGTTCCTTCTTTTTTAACTGAATTGTTTTTATTAAAAATCCTATTTGAATGTGTAGAAAAAGTGCGGATGTCCTGTAATATATTGTAGCTTTTCTTGTTTACAGGGTACTCAGAAAATACGTCTCCCTTAGAGTCCCACAGAAAGGTTCTCAGTGCGATCTCTGTCAAGGTATGTATTTCCAAAGAAGTGATCCCTTTAGATATTTGCCTGTGTACCTTTTCCTGTTATTCAGAGCTTGCCTTCTGTGGGTTTTATGATAAACCTGTAAAACCGGTTTTGCAAGTCTTAATCGTTGAAGGCAGCATAGAGCCTGTTCTTGACCAGACAAAGGGAAAAAGTGTGACTTTGAGGCTGAACTTGTCATTTTTCATTTGACTTGTCTTGAATTATTTAAGAATAGAGAGAACTAGAAAAAGAGAGAAATAGAATTGGTTATTGAGCACTCCCCAAATGCTCACCATGATTCAGTGTAGAGCCAAAGGGCAGGGTGATGGAACAGGGCTCTATGCTTTAGAAGGAAAGAAATTTAAACCTGACCTCCACAGAGTCTCACTAACTTCTGTTGTTTGAAAATACAAAATACGTTCAGGAAGTGTTGGAAGTTAGTATTTTGGGAAAGAAATGGCAGTTCCACAGAACATTGCATTTAACAGTAAATTGGAGGAGAGCCCAAGAGAAATTTTTCATCCCTTGATAGAAAAGGTAGGAAGTGACTTTTTTTGGTTTGGTTCTTTTTTCTTTATTATTTTCTGGAAATAAAAGTAATTAAGTATAGGTACTACTGGTCTCTTTCTTCCAGTAACAGGTGATAATAATAGTAGTAGTAATAGTAAAAATAATAATAGAAATAATAATAACAGTAATGTAATACTACTTAAACTGTCTTTATCCATTGAACTGGCCATTTCAAATCAAAACTTCTAAACACAAATCAAACCATCATCCTTGTAGAATCTTTCACAGCAGTGGGCTAAAGATCCTGGTTTTGTTGACAGGATTTCTTGGCTCTGGAAGAACAAGAGGGAAGTAGAAGCCTAACTACTTCTAGCTCACAGACCCGTCCAGTGAACAGAGCTTTGTATTTTGATGGGCTTGGGATGACTTTGAAATCAATTGGTCATTACAGTAAAAAAAATTAATGTTTTTTTGAACGTGACAGCAGAAATAACTTTAAGCACCAACTTAATAATAATAGATCACCAATTTAAGTTAAAAATTCATGCTATACTATCAAAATTTAAAGGTAAGTGATTATGTATTAGGTGATGGTATAAAGTGTATGTTCTAATGTGTAGGATGTATGCAAAGATACATACATACCTGAAAGTCCTTAGAGGAAACAAATTTTTATGTTTGCTGTCTGACTGTTTATCATACAATATTTGGTTTTATTTCGCAGGGATCGGTGAATTTTAACTTTGGAGTCCTCTATGCTAAGGATGCTCAGCCTGCAGATGATGAAATGTTCAGTAATGGTGAGTTTTTCACTTTCTCTTTAATTGCTATGCTGATCTGAATAAGAAAAAAAACAAAAGCAAGAGAAAAAAGAGGATGGTTTATTATTTTTTACACTGTTATGTTTGTTTCCTCAGTATTTGCTGCAGCTCTGCTTACCCAAGCTTTGGGTTCCTTCTGTCCCACTGGGAGTTGCCCAGTTTGGTTGCATCTGGTGAAATTCACCCTGAGACCTTACAGAAGTAGCTCAAACTACATGAGAGCCATTTGCAGTTCTCTCCACACACCTGGAGAATGGGTGACGTTTCTGAGGATGTGGCAACTGTACTTCTATCAAAACTCAGTCTGTGAAATTTCTGGGGAAAACCCTTCTGTGTCCTGAAGGGCTCAAACTCTGCTGAGGATCCAGTTATCAGGTGCTCACCTGGATGGTTCCAGCTCTTAAAGTGAACACTTGTACTCTTGCCCTGTAGTTTACATCCGTTGTATTTTTGTTATTTTGCAAGATTTTATGTCTTTGCAAAATATTGTGCATTTCGCTCTTTAGAACCTCTCAGATTGTTCTTTGGTGTAGCGCCACCTCATGGGACACTTGGCTGCCGTCCTGAAGGGGATGGTCGCTAGAATTGTAAATTCTGGAGAGTTTGTAAGTCTTCTGTCCCCAGGGAGCTATCATGCTTTGTTTACTTTTGTTCTGTTGGTTAGGCGCTGCTTCTCATTGCAAGTATGAATTTCAAACTACCCTGTTCTCTTTTTAACTGTTTTCCTGGTTCTCTCCGTACGGCAGGGAAAGACTCTCGTATCCTTGTCTTCAGGCTCGGTGCTGTCCACGAAGATACGGAGACTAAAAAAATCATAAGAAGCAAAATATGACTGCAGGGAAAACAAGCTGGAGAGAACAAAAGGTGATATTGTTATCCTTACCCTGTATTAGAAACATCCACTGTGCTTTGATGCTGGCAGCTGCCAGGGGCTTGTTAGCTCTTTGTAGGCAGGTGTAGGTGTTCGCTTGTAGGTTTTTTCTCTGGACAAGTCAATTCAAACTTTGCTAAGCTTATATTTGCAGATTACTCTCTAGCACAGTCCAGCATGACATTTTTGAATGCTGTAAAAAAAAACATGTTACTTGGAAATTGCTAATGATGAGAAGCTTTAGGGGAAAATAAGATTTCAGGGTTGGGAGACGTGAGAAGAATTTTGTGGGGATGTTAGACTGAAGTAAAGCACACTTGAGGCTGGACTGGCACGCTGGCAGGTCCCCTATTAAACAGTAGTGCTGAGATTAGCCTGGGGGTTGCCCATTGTTTCTGTAGAAATCAGTGTTTCCTGGTCTTCAGAAGTAAGCTGCTTTGAAAAGCTGGAAGGTGCAGCATGGTGACAATCCGTGTGCTCTGGATTAAAAGTAGATTTCAGAAGGGTCCTAGGCTTTTGTCTTTTCCTAGAAGCCGATGTAATCCTATTGAGGAGTTTTTAATTCTGTGCTGCCACGTCATCGGTCAGGGCCCTGTCGTACTAATCATCATACAGATACAAAACAAAAAATCGGACCCTGTCCCAACCACTTAGAGCCCAGAACACGATTTCCTCGGGCTGCCGTTTGTGTGCCATCGGCACTCACCACGGAAGCGAGCTGGGGATTGTTGCAGCTGCTGGGAACAAACCGCTCCTCGTCACACAGGAACGGAATTGGGACGACGCCTCGGCCAGCCCCTCTCTGCCATCGTCTCCTGAATCTGCAGCAGAGCAGTTCCGGTCCATCCGGGCACGTGTAATCCAGTTCCCGATGATCTGAGCGCACGGAGCAGCGCTCCGCTGCCGTGGGGGGCTCAGGGAAGGCAGAGTGTGCATTGTCATCTTCCTGAACCTGCAGACGAATCCAAGTGAGAAGCCACAGGGTGGAAATCAGTCGCATATATGCTAAACGAAACTTGCAGGTTTTTTTTAAGAATTGTTTCTGCTTGTTCTTTTTTGTGCTTCAGCGCTTAGAAAACCTCTCTTTAAAATCAGTTCAATTCATCAGTTGAACCTTTGTTTGCAGACCCTCAGTGAGCAGAATTTGTTGCAGACTCAGTGCACGCTGTGCCGGCCTCCCGGGAGTGTGAGGGGCTCACGTGTGCTACTTTTTGCTTTAGGACGCTCTGAGGTATTTATTCCTTTTGGGATACATGATGAGAATTGCCAAGAGAGGTAGTTACAAGGTATGACATGAGGAAAAAGCCTGTGTGGTTGGAACGTTGTTGCTGTCAAAAGTTAATTTTTCCTTCTTTCTTAGCCAGTAGTTAGCTTTTTGCTTAATTTTTGTGGTATCATTATTTTATTGTTTAAAAAATGGCTTCAAAATCACTTTGGTGGTTGGTGTTGGCCACCAGTACCTTGTTCAGATTTGCCTATTTGCTTGTAGCTAAAATGTTCGCATCCTGTTTATCATTCTATTTAAGAAACTGCTGCCCAGCCAACTAATAACTGAATATCCATCTGTCTGGGACTCGGGGACAGGATTAAGGTAGTGTCTTTGTTCCCAGGAAAAGGTTCCAGTGTAGTTTCTAAATAGAGGAGAAGGGGATGAAGACGCGGTGCTCTGATGCCATTGGGGCACCCCAAGGTCCCCAGGAGCGGGAGCCCCGCTGCAGTGCAGGAGCAGGTATGTTCTCATGTAATACTGAACAAATTATAAATATAAATATGACAATTTAAGCATGAAAATATTTTTTAATATAGTTAAACAAAGTGGGTTTTTTCATTTGTCAATAGGCAGTGTTTTGATTGTAAAAATTATAACTACAAATAATATAAAGGGAGAAATCTAAGTATAGAAATAGAAATATATACAGATATATATAAAATTTAAACCTATAAGAAAAAATTAGTTGTAGCAGTAGATGTGATACCTAATATAAATAATAACTTAGATACTTTCCTAGAATTTTGTATCTATTATATATAATTATGAATATAATGCATCAAAAGAAACTATAAATATAAATGTGAATATAATTATACAAAAGTATAAAAATATTTCAATATCGTTCAAAAGAAGGCTTTTTTTGTGTTTAGTTGGTTAGAGACGGGGGTTTTATTTGGAATCATAGAAGTAGAAATCTAAATATAGAAATATACAGTCAATAAAGAAAGGTATTTATAAGAACACGACTGAACGACGCCGCCTTGGGCCGAATGGAACGAGCTCAGCCGAACCAAGGCGAGACCGGCCGAACCTGACGGGCTCGAGCGAACCGAGGCCAGGCTTGCGAGGCTGCCTGAACGGAGCCGAGCTCGGCCGAACCGAGCCCGCCGCTCTCGTGCGCGCTAATTAGCGCGAGTGCGGTCACAGCCCAATGAGCTCCTGTGCCACCCCGCGCTCCCGGTCGTGTCGGTGCGATGGCCGGGCCGCCCGCGGGACGCGGCAGCAGGAGCGCCCCGAGTCGGGCGAGTTTAACGTGAGGCGGCGCCGCTTGCCCGCCGTCGGGGGGGGGGCGAGCCGAGCCGAGCTCAGCCGAACGCGCAGAGAGCGGCTCCGAGTTGGGCCGAAGCGCGCCGAAGGGACGAATGCAGCCGAATGCGGCCGACAATAGCCGAGTTTAGCCGACAGTAGCCGAGTTTAACCGAAGAGCCGACTGGAGCCGAGTGACTCCGGAGCGATCCCAGCTCCCCCGAGCGCAGCCTCCCGGGCAGGGCGAGGCGCCGGGCCGGGCTCGGGGTGCAGCCGGGGCTCTGTGAGGCTTCCCCGCCTGTCCCTCTCTCTCGCCCTCCTTCCTTCTCCCCGTATTCGCCTTCTCTCGCTCCCTTTCCCCCATTCCCTCTGCCCCCACAAGCCCGGCTCCTTCCTGTCCAGCCCCTTCCCCGCTACTCCCTTTCTCTTCCCCGTTTCTGCCTCCTCTGTCCACCCTCCCTCTACCCCCCCTCCCGGGCTTTCCCTTCCCGTGCCGCTTTCCTGCACAGCCCGCCCTCCCTCGCCGCCCTTTGTCATGCCCTGCTCTCGCTCCTCTCTTCCGGTGCCCGCTTTCCTTCTTTGCCGCGCAGCCGCGGGGCTCGGGGTGCCGGAGAATGAAGGCCCGAGGGTATGGGGATTCATCCGTGGTGCTGTTAACACAGTCAGAATGGCTCAGTGACTCTGTGCCAGGCTGGTGTGGCCTCAAAGGCTGCCCCTGCTGCTGGCAGAGTGTGTGAAGCGTCTGCTGAGCGGGCAGCGGCACCCCCCCGAACACCTTCTCGCAGCAGGTACGGAGACGGACCCAGCCCAGCGCGTGGAAATGGATCTCTCCAGCTGAACGCTCAGGTGAAGCGAGCAGGGAGCGTGCTCAGCATGAACCAGGTGAGCTGCACGTCTCCAGGGTAATGATTCTTGCACCTTCAGAGCCACAGTGTCGCTGAGCTTTTTTTTTCCCCAGGCTTTCCATCACCTCTCAAACAGACGAATGCTCCCCTTGGAGGCTGCTGTGCCCTGGGGAGCCTGGCAGGTGGCCCCGTTGGTGAGAGGAGGGCAGCTGCAGGCAGGCAGCCCCCAGGAAAACACGGGAGTTTCAGTGGTTTCTGATGCCTGAGGAACGGGGAGATGGCGTGAGCTGAGCAGGAGTTAAGCACGGTCGTACAGAGGCCTGGCTGTTATGATTTAAGATGGCTTATTGAATATCTGTAGTTTCTATAGATATTTGTATATCTGTCCAAGTAGGATATAGAGCCTTGTGCAGGAGAAAAAGAACTCTTGATGTAAGATATGACCTGGGGGGGCATCATGCCAGGCTATCCCTTCCAGATTTGGACGGCTTCAGGGTCTTGTGTGGCATGATGGGAAGTTCTGAAAATTAAGATTTCCTCTTTGGTGCGGGTCAGATGGGTGACGCCTGGCAGCTCGTGCACTGCCACTGTGCTAACCTGTGTGCCTCTCCTTCCCTCCCTGCTCCACAGGCAGCGCAACACGGGAGCAGCAGGGAGAGCTGGCTTTGTCCTGGAGGATCCAGGAGCTCGCGGTGGATATCTGAGCCTGCAGCTCCAGGCTGCCGCACGACGGAAGGGCTGCACACACCCAGAGCGTACAGGTACTGTCACAAACGTGGGCTGTGGTGGCTGAGCCCTCAGGAGCTGGCGGTGCCAGCTGGGAGAAGAACAGTAGCTTCCAGCCTTTTCTTTTGTCTGCGTTTCCCCGTGTTCAGTCAGTCTGATTACTTCTGGGCATTTGCCCAGCAGGGTGTGAAATGCTTCAAGGGCTAAAGGGGGAAAAAAAGGGAAACACAAACTATAATCCACACCTCAGGAGGGAGAAGACATCTGTCAGGACAAACTCTTAAGAGAAATGGGATGAAGAATACTTGTTTATTCAGTCTTTGGTATGTGTAGCTAGTTCAAAGAGGTCTCCCAGTCCTTCCCATTAGCAGAGCAAAGGAAGAGCAGCAAAGCCCTCAGGCTAAGCCATTAAAAGCAGCAGCAGCAGCAGCAGCAGCAGCAGCTTCGTGTGCTGGAGTGTGGCAGGCATTCCTAGGTTTGCTTTTTGGTTTTGCATCTAGCACTGGTAGAGGAGAGTTCTTTGCAAGGTGATAGTTCCAGCCTTGTATTGAAATGTGAGCAAAGAGGAACTTTGTCAGTTGGATTGGGGTTTATTCACAGCACTTGTAAACAGAGTTAACATTCAGATAACATGTGCAGGGAGTGTGTGCTGTGGGTTAGCACAAGTGACAAAGGAAGTGGGACAGGGACAGGGCACTTTTCCCTTCAAGGTACTGTCTTTCTCTGGAAGAATGATGTGAGAGCAGAAAAGTTGCAATGGCACTGCAGTTCCCTGCACAGAATATACCCAGGGAGGTGAAGCACAGCCCAGTGGTGCCATTCACCTGCGCCCCAACGGGGAGCATCGGTGAAGTGAGGAGGACTGAGGAGCTCTCCCCTTGAGCAATCACAACAGTCATGTCAACGAGTGTCACCCTTTTCCAGACCACTGGCATGTGCTTGGGGACAATAACCTGTGTTTTTTACAGCCAGGTCTTCTGAGCCGCTGCTCACTGCTCGCAGCGAAAAGAAACTTGTGTAGAGGCACTCTGCAAAATTGCCACCTCAGATGCCACTGAAGCACAGCTTTGGCTTTCAGGCATCTCCCCTGCAAGCTGTCCCTTGCGGCGTTTCCGCACTGGATTCATTGTAAATTCATTCCTCCCATTTTTTATTTGTAATTTCCAAAGAATATCAGTCGACTTTGACAGCCTCTTCAGGGCTCCCCAAGCTTCATACCACACCTAAATGCTCGTTTTCACTGCCTGAAGGGCTTCTCTCACCCGAGTGATTCTATGAATTTGGCCTGCACTTCAGCTTAAGGGGAAAGCTGTACATTGATTGCATTTTGGAGAAAAAGATTTGACCGTCCAGCTGTAAATTTATCTTGTGTTTTGCCTTCCAGGTTCGCTCGTATTGTAATTTGCAAATGGCACGGCAAATGCCACGAGAGCAGCTGGTGAAGGTGGCTCAGAAGCAATGACAAGAATGTGCTGCAAAGTTGGGTCCAGCAGTCCAGCTTCCCGACACGGTAGGGCAGGCACACCTTTTGATAAAGCATCAAACGCTGTAGTTTTTATTCTTGGTGTTTGTCTGCGCTCCCATTCTGATCACCCCTTGAAGTATTATTTTTCAAAATGATATCTAGGAGAGAAATCATGTTTATTCAGGGGGAGCCATAATTTTCATCTGTTCCAAATGCACCAGGTGTGTTTTAAGGCCTGCACACACAGCAAGAGCCGCAGAGCTTGTTGTGCAGTTTCCTGCAGCACTGATTTATTCTGTACTCCAGTAACCATGCCCCGGGCTGCCAGCCAGGCTCAATGCCAGGAGCGGGAGGAGCAGACCCCGAGAGGTGCTTTGGGTGGAGCCCAGCCAGGTTTCAGGCAGCCCGCAGAGTCTGCCCTTGCAGTCCACGCCGGTCTGCTGTTGCCATCTGCTGGAAAAATCCCTAATGGATATTTCCAAAGGTGGGGAGGAGCATCCGCTCCTGTCACGGACCTGCTGGGGGCTCTTTGCCCTCTGGCTCCGTGCGCTCTGCCCAAGAACAGCGTGTGCAGCAGGCTGTCACCGCTCTCTGCAGGGTGAAGCACCTTCAGCCAAGGTCAGTGCAAGAGCAAAACAATCCTGCCAGCAAAGCCTGCTACTAGAGAGGCAAACAATGATCCTTCCCCAAAGGAATTCATCCTTCTTCTCCCTTACAACTCTCCTGTGTCATCACACGGCAGAATGGTTTGGGGTGGAAGAGATGTTGAAAACGACCTAGTTCCACCCCTGTCCTGGGCAGGCTCACCTTCCTCTGGGCCAGGGTGCTGTGCTGTCGCAGATCAGGTGGCAGATCTGTGGAAATTGTAATGATATTATTAAGGCGTGTCTCTTATTGCCTTGCCATTCATGAATCCCGAGGCTGTCTTGTCCTAGTTTAGCTTTCTGATGTGGAGGAGCAGAACTGCCAACTGATATGGATTTTGGTGCTCTCTGTGGAGTGACGTCCTGTAAAATTTCTGTCCCAGGAATGCTGTCACGATGGCTCTGCTCCATAAAGAATGACACGGCCTGATTGTCAGCAATTTTTGCTGCTGCACTAGTGTAAAAATGCTAAAATTTGAACACCGCTTATTATTTCAAAAGAGAATATTTTAAAACTGGAAGAGATAGCTGAAATTACGCCTGAAAGGTAGCAAGAGCAAATACATAGAATATTTCTCCCTGTTTGTAGATATACTTTTCATTGAAAATTATGCTGATGGGGATATGCTTTTATGTATTTAGTGACTTTACAGATTTATTCCCCGAGTTTTTTGAGTTCACAGAGTCATGGAATAATTCAGGTTGGAAGGGGCTCTAAAGATCACCTCGTTCGGAGCCTGCTGCCGTGGGCAGGGACACGGTTCCATGGACCAGGTCGCTCTGAGCCTGATCCCAGAGCACCAATGGGCCTTGGAACACTTCCAGGGATGGGGCAGCCCCAGCATGTGTGAGCAACCTGTGCCAGCCAGTTGCCAGAGGAAGAAGAAAGCCCTTCCCAGCTGGAGCAGAGGCTGCTGCAGCTTGGCGCAGCCTTGTGTCACCGAGCGTGTGAGGCAGAAGGGCCCTTCCCGTGGAGGGAGAACGGCACTGAAAGATCTTTTTTGGGAGGAGCGGAGCAATGGAACGCCAAAGCAGCCTTCAGTTCTTGCAGCAGAGTTGGGAACAACTGGAAGCAGGAGCAGAGCTGGCCTGGTGCCTGGCAGCTCTGCAGGCAGTGGGGATGGAGAAGGTGCAGTTGTCTGTCTTCTTGGTTGAGTCTTGAAAAATGAGGCACTTTTCTGTAGTTCCTTTTCAAGCATTACGTGGCAGTTGCCCCTAGAAGTCCAAAGGCAGCTGTTTTCTTAGCAGGAGGAAGTCAGGAAGAGGCAAAGCAGGCAAAGACATCAGATAAGTCTGGATAAAAATCTTGGCTAAGCTGTTTTTTCCCCCTCCTCCAAACAGGCAATTCTGAAGCGCTGAGCAGAGATCTGCCCCCGGGAGGCAGAGCAGAGCCGATCTGTGAGAGCTGACACGGGAGCTGTGGTGAGGACAGCTGCTCCCCTGCCTCGGTGTGGGACCTGCTGAGCTGCCGTTCCTGTGCTGGGAGTGTTTCTCCTCTCATGCAGGCAAGCCAGAGAGCTCCTAGGGAAGGAGCAGGTAAGGTTGAAGTGCCGAGATCTCCCCGGTAAGAAGTGCCGTGACAAAAGGAAATGGCCTCAAGTTGCAGCAGGGAAGGCTCAGATTGGCTTTGAGGACCAATTTGTTCACTGAAAGGGTGGTCAGGCGTAGGAGCGGGCTGCCCAGGGCAGTCCCCATTGCTGGAGACATTTGAAGCATGGCAAGATGTGGTGTTTAGGGACCTGATTTGGGTGGGGGCTTGGCAGTGCTGGGGCAGCAGCTGGGCTCGATGGCCTTAGAAGGCTTTTGCAGCCTAAAGGACGCTATGGTTCTGGAAAGCCTCGACCCCTCTGGCTCCGACACAGCACCTGGATGCTGACGGAAGGAGGCTGGTCATGGAGCCTGGAGGTGCCTGTGCCACAGGGAGGGAGAGGGCAAGGCAGCGTCACCTGCAGGGAGGGTCTCGTCCCCAGAGAGCGGCCAGTGACTCCATCCGTGCCCGGGGCTCTGGGTGCACCCTCGGGGTGGACACCTGCCCTCAGGTTTCCCTCTGGGCACCCGGGGAGGGAACCGGGTCCATCCGTGCGGCAGCTCCAGGGCCTGCAGGCTCTGGGGCCCTGCAGCCGTGCGCCCTGTCACAGGGCGGCAGGGACGTGACACTGCCCGGCCGCGCCGCTGGCCTGGGATCCTTGCTGCTTTCCTCCCGATCCCACATGGCTGTAGCAGCAATCTTGTGTCTTTTCTTTAAAAGTGTCCTTGGGAGAGTTCAAAGAGAGGGTAATTAGTTATGTCAAAGCCTACAGATTTGACCTGTTGGCACTCAAGAGAAAAGACAAGAACCTGCTTGGCATCCTTGTGCCTGGAAGTCATTGTGACCCAGGGAAGCGAGGAAGGGGCTGGCCGAGGTCACTGAGGCTCTGAGATGGAGGTGAGTTTGCATTCCAGTTGATTGGAACGGAGGCTCATCAGAAGTTTCCTCGGCTATCCAAGGCACAGAGCCCTGGAGCCAGGTGAGCCTGAGCTGCTGCACGCTTGCTGTGAGCTTTGGGGTGAGGGTGCATCGTTGCAGGCCTGGGATGGATTGAAATGCGCTGAGGAAAGCAGAGGGAGGGAGGGAGGGAAATGCTCTGTTAACTTGTGCCAGTTCTTCTGTCAGACTCATCACGGCGGGACAGCGTGGAGACTGAAAGTGTGAGAAGATGCGGAGGGGAACAGAGAATCTGACGGGAGCAGCGAACGAGCACGAGTGCACGAATTTTGCTTTTTGCTTGGCTGTAAACTCAGGAGTTGAAAGGAATTTGGGAGTGAGAAGGGACATTTCAGAAGGAGAAGAAGAAAAAGAGGTTGTTGTTGTTGTTACAGTCCTGGCAAAATCTTTTGTTCTAGCTAATAAAAGAAGTTAGTTTAAGAAATAAAAAGAAAAAAAATGTAGTGTTTTTTTTTTTACTTGACTATTATATTCATTGGTGGTATATGGTGTGTTGTTTTATTTCTTGGTATTATTAACTCTGTGTAAATTGTTTTTTGAGTGAAGCTGACTTTCTGGATGGGTTGGTTTGTATTTGAGGCAGGATTAATTTCAATGGGATTGTTTCATAGATTTCTGATGGGTATTACTGGGATTTTGGTTTTGTTTGCTGTATGTATAAAGATAGAGCTTTGGTAGGGCCAGCTGGGCTGCTGGAGTTTTGGGTGTGAATTTATGAGATGGCTTTTGTTAAATGCAGTTTTTAATTTTTGAGATGTTTTTCAATGTAGTGGTTTTAAGGTGGTTTTTAAGAATTCATTGTATTGTTTTCTGTTGTTTGTAGTTGGTGTATGATAAGGGATGTGGTGTGAGGTCTTGAACGCTATGGTTTTAGTGTTCCTAAGTTCTGATTTCTTTCTGGTTCGATAGTTTTTTTTATTTTTTGGGACAGGGGCATTTATATGGTGGGTTTTTATAGGCAATACGTTTTTTAATTTAGGTAGTGATATTTTTTAGTATTTTAATAGTTCAGGTTTTTTATTTTCATGGTTTTAATTATTTTTTTTAATTTTTTTCAAATAACTTTTCTAGATGATAGGTTATTATTTGTGCATTAGCATCAAGGTAGAGCTTTGGGGACTTTTTTTAGTAATGTTTAGGGTGAGTTGTACAGTTTTGAGTCTCGTGAGTTGGTTTGATTTAATTTTTACTGGGTGTTTGTTTTTATTAGCAGTTGTGTCATTTTCAAGGTGTATTTGAGTTTTTTGGGGTTTTTGAGATAGTGGTTTAGGAGGAAGTTTATGATGAGAATGTGCGGAGGTTTTGGGCTACTTTATAGTGGGATTTAAAATTTATTGACAGTTAGGTTTATTGGAGTTTTTATTAGGGTTCAATGACGTTGTGGGACGTTTGTTCCGTTAGTAATAGCAGTGGGTTTTGTTTTGATGCACTGGGATGGGACGAGCGTGTGCTGCGTGCCGGTGCTGACAAAGGTACGGTACTGTTGTGGTTCTGGTGCGTGGGGTCAATGAACTTGTATGGTTTAATATAGAGATGAAAATAGAAATAAATATACATTTAAAAATAAATATAACATTACAGTGGTAGACATGAATATAGATAACAGATACATACATAAAACTGTTATACCTGGTATATAATTGTAACATCATATAGATAAATGATAGTCTATTTTATATATATATATATATACACAAAGATATATAAATAGAGATAGTTAATATGAAAATATTTAAATGGAGTTAAAATAAATGGGGGGGGTGTTATTAGGTTATAGGCTGGGGTTTTTAAATAAATGATAGAAATAAAATATCAATTCGGATATACAAATATATATACAAATACAAATCTCTATAAATATTTAATTTAAATAAATATAAGGAAAAGAAATCTATAATACAGAAAATACAGATCTCTTATTATATTAGAAGGTATTCTCTCTAATATATATAATATCTATGAATAAAATAAATTAAAATATCCATATGAATATCATTATAATTTTTAAAAATAAATTTACTTCCTACATTTTAAATCTGGTTCAAATAAAGGGGTGTCCTTGGTTTTCATTTGGTTAGAGGCAGGAGTTTTATTTTAAATAATATAAGTAATATAGAAATGTGGATCTTAAGATAGAAATATGTAATAAATATATAAGGAGAAATTGCTAAAATATGAATATAAATTTACATATAAATATGTGTAAGTAATATGAAGAGTTGTAGTGTAGAATATAAATAACATTATATGGCAATATAAATTATAAATGGGAATATAAATATAAAAATATGTAAATATAGCTTAAAAGAAAGGGAATGTTTTGGCTTTTATTTAAGTAGAGGCAGGGGTTTTATTTTGAATATTGTAAGTGTTCCAGAAGTAAAAATCCTGACGCAGAAATGTTTAATCAATATAAAAAATATGAATAAAAATATATAAAAATTCATAAATAACTACTCGCATCAGATGTATTATAGAATATAAATTTATTTATAACTTGACATTGGTATAGATAAATGTATAAGTAAGCAATATACATTAATATACATTATAAATACAAATATGAATATAAAAATTGAATATAAGGATAAAATCTATTTAAATATTGTTTACAACAAAGGGTTGGGGGTTTTTTTATTCCTATTGTGTTAGAGGCAGGGTTTTTATTTTAAATAATATTAATGTAGATATTATTGTTATTTATTTCTAAATATGGAGATATACAATCGAGATATAAATATATATATAAAAACACAAAATATAAAGAAATACCAATAATAGGAAGAGATGTAATGAAGAATACAAATAACAGTATACATAAGTGTACATTTTAAATGTAAATATGAATATGAACCTGAAAACTAGAATTTTAAAAAATATTTAAATACAGTTGAGAAGAAAGGGGTTCTTTTTGGCTTTAATGTGGATGGAGGCAAAGGTTTTATTTTAAATAATGCAAGTGTTACAGAAGTAAAAATCGTAACAGAAATATATACTTACCATGTAAAAATATGTATAACAATATACAAATAAATTTAAGTTTTAGGGATATATGCAATATGGAATAGAAATGTATTTATAAAAAGAAATGTATAAATGGACAGTGTACATCAATATACATTGTAAATAGAAATGTGAATATTAATAGGAAAAAACTTTTTAAAAAATATTTAAATATTTTTTAAAAGAAATTGTTGTTTTTTTGGGTTTTTTTTGTGTGTTGTGTTTTGTTTTGTCTTTTATCCTTTTAGATTAGAGGCAGAAGTTTATTTTTCCTCTTCCCCGTTGTTTTGGGGCATTTATTTCAGAGCAGTTTTCGGCGGGGGCCGCCCCTGTTCTTTTTCGCCGCCTTCCCTGCCCGCAGCCCCGAGGCGCGTTGCGCCCCCGGCTGGGGCGTGCGGCAGTGCTGCCGCCTTGTGGGCAGAGCGCGGTACTGCAGCCCTGCACCGAGAGGCCGCCACCTTGGGAGTGGCGCGTCGCGGATGTCGCGGACTTTTAATTGACCTTCTCAGCATGGCGGCGAAAAGGGCGGGGAAGTGGAGGACCGGGGTGGGTGTAAGTGGACTGCCTGCACAGAATACTGACGTCATGGCGGCTCCGACGGATTTTTCTGCGGCGTTTCATGGGTACCCGACACACGGTGTGGGCTCAGCGGCGCCGCGGGCGGGGTAGTTTGGCGGGTTTGTGCCAGGCATGTGGGTTAAACGCCTCGCTGTGCCGGGGTCCTCTGACGGCCGCTTTCGCGCCCTGAGGGAGCCGAGCCGGGCCGAATTGTTCCGAAGAGCCGAAGAGCCGAGGGTGGCCGAAAAGAGCCGAGTTGACCCGAAGAGCCGAGGGAAGCCGGAAACAGCCGAGTTTACCCGAAGAGCCGAGGGTGGCCGAAAACAGCCGACTTGAACCGAAGAGCCCAGGGCGGCCCAAAATCGCCCAGTTTACACCAAGAGACCGTGATAGCCGACTGGAACCGATAGCCGAGTGTAGCCGACACTGGCCGCATTTAGACAATGTGCCCAATATGACCGAGTTTAGTCGAACCGTGCCGAGTTCGGCCGAAGAGCCGTACTGAAACGAGTTTAGACCAAGAGCCGGACCAAGCCGAATTCAGCCGAGTTTCATTCAACAGAACCGAACAACGCCGCAGCGCTCTGCCTGCAGTGCGCCTGTGCAGGCGGCAGGGATCGCTGTGCCTGCAGTGCGCCTGTGCAGACGGCAGGGATCGCTGTGCCTGCAGTGCGCCTGTGCAGACGGCAGGGATCGCTGTGCCTGCAGTGCTCCGGGACAGACGGCAGGGGGCGCTGTATAAAGTAAGTAGAAAATATCAACTCTCTATAAGAAGGAATAAAAGCTCTATGTCACGTGCAGCAGTAGAAAATTTCAGGCTCCCAGGGAATAAATAGTTTTCTTTAAATCCTTTTCGTTTTGGAGTTTTTTTTTTTTTACTCCCAGGTAGCCTGATAGTTTCTACTGCTGTTTTTTTATTCTAAAGCTAGAAAGGTAAACCAAGATCAGAAATACAAGAAAGGGAAAGGGAAGGGAAAGGAAAGGCAAGGAAAGGAAGCGGGAGAGCAAGAGGGAAGGGAAGGGGTGAAAAACAGAGTGAAAAAAGAAAAAAGAGTTGGAGGGGGAAAGAGAAGGCATTCGGAAGGAGCGGGGCTGCCTCAGGTCCTTCCCCGCCCAGGGGTGAAGGTCCCGTTTGATGCCCGGGAGGTTCTGCAGCTCCCGGCGGCGGGGGACGGAGCCGTGGCTGTCAGCCCGAGACTACAACTCCCGGCAGGCCTTGCTGCCGGCGCGGCGCGTGACGCAACGGCTGACGCGGCACATGACTGGCTGGCGGACCAGGCGGGCGCGCGGGGCTGTGCGCGGGCCGCTCCCGCCGCCTCTCCCGCGCGGGACGGCGACGCTGGACGGGCGAAGCCTCCGTCCGGCCGCCCGCACGGCGCCGAGCAGCGCGGAAGGAGCGTCCGCGGGGTTCCTCGGCCTCGGCGGTGCCGGGGGCGGGGGGCGGGGCGGTGCTTTGCTGCCGCGGGCCGGGAGCTGCAGGAGCCGCCCCGGGCGAGCACGGCGAGCACCTGTGAGTGTTTTTTTTTCCTCTAAATCGGGAGTAAATATAGCTGAGTAAAATTAGCTTGGTTTTCTTCCTTCTTTTTTAACTGAATTGTTTTTATTAAAAATCCTATTTGAATGTGTAGAAAAAGTGCGGA